GGTCCACCTCTACAGCACCCTCCCCTTGTTAACCTTCTACCAAAAAAAAATTAAAATGAGTGGGAAGTAACAACTATGCCTGTTCTACACAATACACATAAAACTATTTTAATTGAGTACCCATAAATATTAGCATCTTTCACATTTAAATTTTTAGCTATAATTTCCACTTTAAGACTGAAGGAAGACAAAAGAATTCCTTTCATTTCCTAACGAACCCAGACTGAGGGGAAAAACTTAAAATATTTTCCATAGTAGCTTCAAGTCAGTAATCTTACATTATTGAACTAACTCTATACTCATTTCCCTAAAACAAAAAAGAATTTTTGAACCAAAAGCATGACACTACAAATTCTGTCATTGTTTAAATTAAGAACTTCAAGTGAGAGAAAGTATTTCTACACATAACCTCTACTTTCATCTCTTCTGCACGTGAGACCACTGTCCAAGTACAGTCATGACAATTATAGCAACCAGAAGAGACATTCCACAGTCAAGATGATGACCATGAGCAAGGAGAGACATCTTTATGGAGCTTTTCTGAGGTGACCACTGAATTATAATATTTATGAAAGAAATATTTTCTTTCTTCTGTAATGAAAAAAAAAATCTACTTACTAAATAGAGGTGAACAGGCAGAGTTGAATCATTTCCGTAACCTCAGCAAACCTGAACCACACAAAATTATAACACTACCTATAAATATCACCGGCTCAGATCCTTAACTAGAACCAAGAAACACTACAAGACCTTGGCAACAGGAATCATGTATTTTCATTGCTTCTGTATGTTCCATTCTCTCACATAATTTCCGAGAAAATGAGAGGAGTTTTTTGCTGCAAAAGTAGAATGAACATCAAAATAAAGAAGACAGTCAAGAGATCATCAGAGCAGCCCCTGCCTCAGTAAACTATGTGCAATTTGTCCAGCTTGAGACTATGCAAAGGTAGAAGTGACGGTTGTGGAGCTCATCTTCTTCAGACCATAACGTTTGCTTTATAGCAAGAACACCCGTACCAGTTCCTCCCCACAGGAACAAACAGCCCAAAGGTGACGAAAACAAAAATCAAAAGCTGGTTCAAGTGGCGTGGACATTCACAAATGACAGACTGTCCCCTTCTACTTTGCCACTCAGTAGAAACCAGAGTTCATAGCCGAGCAATCATGGCTCTTACAAGGGACTTGGGTAAATGTGAACTACAAGAACAGATATCTCCGAGGACAGGGAATTTCCTTCTAGAAACCAGTGCCTATTTTTCCTGGAAACGCAGTCTCCAATAACTCTGTCTCATCTGCAATCACACTTCTGTCATTTTCATTCAGTGGCTCTTCTCCCACAACTTCCAGAAGGTCAGGTTGGCGGCTGGTTGGTGTGTAGGTGGCTGAAGCTTATCTACCAGTTATCTTAAAGGAGCCCAGTTATTGGATGGGCTGTTATTCTTTCTCCATGAAAAAGAAGAGAAATGTACTTGTAAAGTAACATGTGTTTACCTCTCTGCAAATTCCTGTAAGTAGAGATATACTTTCACACATGAATAAAACAGTGTACTATGAGTGGCATCCTGGTTACAAATGGGACTCCCTGGATCCCTTGTTCAAATAAAATCAGTCTAGAAACTAGAAATAAATAAACAGTAACAACTACCAGCAACCATAAACGGTATCATGCAGCTTCAACTCCTGCACTCTGAAGCAGAGGCTGGAGAACTATGATTTTGAGGTGGCTTAAGCTTTATAGTAAGATCCTATCTCAAAAGCCCAATATAACAACCAAAGTGGTGGGGGCCAAAAAGGACACAGGAGCTCTGACAACATTAGAAGCTTTGTACACATAAGCTCCCTCTAATACCACACATCCATGTGAGCTCTGCAATATTATTCCTACTTACAGACCAAGAGAAAGTCTTGAACTCATAACCACTAACTCACATGGAAACAGCCTGCAGCGAACTGCTGTGTGTATCTTCATGGGGTAGAGATGAACAAAATGGGAATAATTCAGTTCCTCTGGCTGAAAGTCCCTTGGCTAAGGAAAACCTGAAGAGTAGCCTATTATGATTCTTTTGCGTCTTTTCTTAAGCTTTGGAAGATTCTGTAAAGCTACTGCCTACAAGATTCATTCACCAATTATCAATTGTGCCCTCCATAGCTAGCTATTCTCATCTTCAACTTTTTAGAGCCCATCATCTTGGCTCTAAAGTTTCCTACAAGTTATATACTCTAGTCATGAGCTAGAGTTCTTCCTCAATGATCAAAGCCCAGTGTGCAGATGGCTCAGTGATTACCAGCACCTGCTTTTGCGGAGGACCCTTCGTCTGCATAGCAATTCACAAGTGTCTCTAATTCCAGCTCCACGGTATCTGACATCCTCTTCTGGTTCTGCGGGCACCAGGTACACACCGGAGACACATACACACATATAGATAAGATATATAAAGAATAGTAAATCAAAAATTTTAATTCAATGTGCCTAGAACACAGATTTTAAATATTTAAAATAGAGCTGAAAAGATGTCCCAGCAATTAAGAATAATGGCTGCTCTTCCAAAGGACCTGGGTTCAGTTTCCAGCACTCGCTTAGCAGCTCACAGTCATCTTTAACTCCAGTCCCAGGAAATTCAGCACCTCCTTTTTGGCCTCCAGTGGTACCATGCACCTATGGAGTACACAGACATACATGCAGACAAAACACCCATACACCAAAAAATATTTTTTAAATAATTTTTAAATACCTCAGCAGGTAATCACCTACCACATGAAATCTGACAACCTCCATTTTATTCTCCAAGCCCATATATAGGTGGAAGAAAAGATGTATAAGTATCACACAAGCTTGCTTTTGTGGAGAATCTAAAACCACTGATCTCATAGAGGATTGAAGGTTACAGGAGGCTGCAAAGAATGGTGACAAGTTAAAGACAGAAAAAGGTAGGTCTGTGGCTGCTAAGTTAGATGGGGGAAAAAAGTCAGTATACTATTGCAAAGGAGAATGCCCATAGTTAACAACAATGTACTGTACATTTGAAAAGCTAAAAGGCTCTAAATAGTTCCACCACAATGAAGACTCAGGGATTTCAAGAGATAGATTTGTTTGAACTTATTAAAACTTACTTTATACTGTAACACACAATCCAGAAACTAATCACCCTTACACTATCCCCCAATGGCTTCCATTTCTTCACAAATTAGAGCCACGAAATCATTTTAATTGGTTATGAATAGCATTTCTTCAAATAGAAGAGAATAAAATCAATAATGCTGATAGTAGCTTCATAATTTTTGCTGATTATGTGGTGCATGTGGTGGTGAAAGAAAATGTATTTCTTAGTGTAGCATCATCAAAACTGCTGGAAAACTTTACTGTAATAACAGCAGAAAAATCCGATAATACTGAGTAAGGTAATTTTAAAATTTTTTAAGTATCTCCAAATTTTGGTCCGAGTCTTTAAAAGTTAGTAGTGAGATGGTAAGCTTTTCCTTCCTTTCAGCAAGGGCAATACTGGAAATATCCTTGCAATCTGTGTTTGCATATACGATTACAGCATCATAGTCTAATACAGCTCTCCTTTAAAAAGAAAGAGAAGAGCTGGTTCTCTGTTGCTAGAAATCAGCCACAGTTCTTTACTCAGTAAGTCTAGCTTCAAATCTACAAACCCAGGCAAATTTCAGACATACCATAGGAGTGACCATACCCAACCTCTCTAAAAAGTGGTTCAAGAACTATTGAATTGTAGTTTCTCGAACACACTCCTGGAAATGTCAGGGTCTTTTTCTTTCTTTTTTATTTTTTTTACAGTGTTACTTTTTTTTCTTTCTTTCTTTGTTTTTTTCTTTCTTTCATCATTTATATTTTATTAACTCTGTATCCCAGCTGTATCCCACTCCTTCAGTCCCTCCCAAACCCTCCCTCCCTCATCTCCTCCCTGCCCCTTTACAAGTCCACTGATTGGGGAGGACCTCCTCCCCTTTTAGCTGACCCTGGTTTATCAGGTATCTTGAGGACTGGCTGCAAAGTCCTCCTCTGTGGCCTAGCAGAGCTGTTCCTCCCTTGGGGGTGGGGAGGTCAAAGAGCCTGCCATTGAGTTCCTGTCAGAAATAGTCCCTTTTCCCCTTACTATGGGAAACCAATTGGTTACTGAGTTACCATGGGCTTCATCCAAGCAGAGGTTCTAGGTTATATCCATACATGGTCCTTGGTGGAGTGTCAGTCTCAGAAAAGACCCCTGTGCCCAGATATATTTGGTCCTTGTGGAGCTCCTATCCATTCCACGTCATACAAACTCTCCCTCCTTTCATAGAGTTCCCTGCACTCTGCCGAAGGTTTGGTTTTGAGTCTTAGTATCTGCTTTGATACACTGCTAGGTAGAGTCTTTCAGGGGCCCTCTGTGGTAGGTTCCTGTCCTGTTACTTGTTTTCTCCTACTTCCAATGCACATCTCATTTGTCTTTCTAAGGAGGATTGATCATCTTATACCGGGTCATCTTTCTTGTTTATCTTCTTTAGGTGTATAGATTTCATTATGTTTATCATATCTTATAGGAATATATGAGTGAGTATATACCATGTGTGTCTTTCTCCTTCTGGGATACTTCACTCAAAATGATCTTTTCTAGATCCCACCATTTGCCTGCAAATTTCATGATTTTCTCATTTTTGATTGCTGAGTAGTATTCCATTGTGTAAAAATACCACAATTTCTGTATCCATTCCTCCGTTGAGGGACATCTGGGTTATTTCCTGGTTCTGACAATTACAAATAAAGCTGCTACAAACATGGCTGAGCAAATGTCGTTGTTGTGTACTTGAGCAAATTTTGGATATATGCCTAGGAGTGGTATAGCTGGGTCTTGAGGAAGCACTATTTCTAATTGTCTGAGCAAATGGTGCTGGTCCAACTGGATGTCTACATGCAGAAAAATGAAAATAGAACCATATTTATCATCCTGCACAAAACTAAAGTCCAAGTAGATCAAAAACCTCAACATAGCCCCTCCGAGCTCATGGTGCGCCTCGGCTGCGCGTTGTTGAGAAAGTATGGAAATTTCATTGATAACCTAAGACTCTTCACCAAGGGAGGAAGCGGTGGAATGGGTTACCCTCGTTTAGGGGGAGAAGGTGGAAAAGGTGGTGATGTCTGGGTTGTAGCCCATAAAAATATGACCTTAAAACTACTTAAAAACAAATATCCTCAGAAATGGTTTGTGGCTGGAGGAGGAGCCAACAGTCGAGTTAGTGCACTGAAGGGCGCCAAAGGTAAAGACTGTGAAATCCCTGTACCTGTGGGTATTTCTGTAACTGGTGAAAATGGTAAAGTTATAGGAGAACTCAATAAAGAAGAAGACAGAATTCTAGTTGCTAAAGGTGGCCTTGGTGGTAAATTACATACAAATTTCTTACCCTTGAAAGGCCAGAAGCAAATAATTCACCTTGACCTAAAAATTATAGCTGATGTAGGTCTAGTAGGATTCCCAAATGCTGGAAAATCCTCCTTACTAAGTCGGGTTTCCCATGCAAAACCTGTGATTGCAGATTATGCATTTACAACGCTAAGGCCTGAAATTGGAAAGATAATGTACAATGATTTCAAACAGATTTCAGTAGCTGATCTCCCAGGTTTGATAGAAGGAGCACATATGAACAAAGGAATGGGCCACAAATTCCTCAAGCATTTAGAGAGAACCAGACAGCTGCTGTTTGTTGTTGATATTTCTGGATTTCAGCTTTCTTCTGTAACTCCATACAGAACAGCATTTGAAACTATAATGCTTCTTACAAAAGAGTTGGAGTTATACAAAGAGGAACTGCAGACAAAACCTGCACTCTTGGCAGTTAATAAGATGGACTTGCCAAATGCCCAAGTTAAACTTCATGAATTGATGAAGCAGCTCCAAGATTTCCTGCAGTTATTTGAAAAAAAAACATGATTCCAGAGAAGGCTGTAGAGTTCCAGCATATCCTCCCCATCTCAACAGTTACTGGTGAAGGGATTGAGGGATTGAAGACCTGTGTAAGGAAGATGCTGGATGAACAGGACCACAAAGAAAATGATGCCTATCATAGGAAACAGTTGCTTAGTTTGCAGATGTCCAGTTCAGCACCTTAGAGGGAGTCACACCAAAGCGTGCTACTGCCATTTCCCGAAAAGGCAGCATTTACATCTAGGAAAGCCTCTTGCTGGGCTGCTTCTTGGTTCTAAGGAAGAAGAAAATCATGTTGTTCAAAACATGGATGATCCTAGAATGCATTATGTTTAAAGGAATCGGGCAGACACAGCAAGACAAATATCATGTGGTCTCACTCACACGTGGAATCTTAAAACAACAAATTAAATCTGAAAAATGTTGATTGTTTATATTATAAACAGGAGCTAGAAAGTTAAGAGATGTTGGTCAAAGATACAAACTTTCAGTGAAACTCTGCAGCTCTGTTTATACTTAGAACAACATCTGCATATTTTGAAAATTTGTTAAAAAGTAGGTTTAAGTGTTCTGGCCACAAAAATAATCTGAGAAAATATGTATTTTAAAACAGCTTGATTTTTTAAAAAACATGTTGTTTCAAAACATGCTGTATATAATAAAGACAAATGTATAATTTTATGTCAATTAAAAAAAAAACCTCAACATAAAACCAGATACTCTAAATCGGTTAGAAGAAAAAGGGGGGAACAGCCTAGAACTCATTGGCACAGGAGACAACTTCCTGAACAGAACACCAACAGCACAGGCTCTAAGAGCAACAATCAATAAAAGGGACCTCATGAAACAGTAAGATCTGGAGAGGACAGGAATTCCACAAGGAGAGGAAGAGAACCAAAAAATCTAAGCACAGGGGTCTTTCCTGAGACTGATACTCCAACCAAGGACTATGCATAGAGATAACCTAAGACCCCTGCACAGATGTAGCCCATCGCAGTTCAGTATCCAAGTGGGTTCCATTGTAACAGAAACAGGGACTGTCTCTGACATGAACTGATTGGCTTGCTCTTTGATCACCTCCCCCTGAGGGGGAAGCAGCATTACCAGGCCACAGAAGAAGACAATGCAGCCACTCCTGATGAGACCCAATTGACTAGGATCAGAAGGAATGAAAAGAAGACCTCCCCTATCAGTTGACTTGGGGAGGGGCATGCGTGCAGAGGGTGGAGGAAGGGAGGGATTGGGATGGGAGGAGGGAGGGAACCACAGGGGGGATACAAAGTGAATAAAGGGTAATTAATAAAGAATTTTAAAAAATAAATGGTACCTCATGAAACTGAATAGCTTCTGTAAAGCAAAAGACACTGTCATCAGAACAAAACGACAGCCTACAGACTGAGAAAGGATCTTCACCAACCCTATATCTGACAGAGGGCTGATATCCAGCATATATAAAGAACTAAAGAAGTTAAAAAGCAATAAATCAATTATTCCAATTAAAAAATGGGGTACAGAGCTAAACAAAGAATTCTCTGTAGAGGAATATCTAATGGCAGAGAAACACTTAAAGAAATGCTCAACATCCTTAGCTATTAGGGAGATGCAAATCAAAACGACCCTGAGATTTCACCTTACACCCATCAAAATGGCTAAGATAAATAACTCAAGTAACAACACATGCTGGAGAGGTTGTGGAAAAAGGAGAACCCTCCTTCATTGCTGGTGGGAATGTAAACTGGTACAATCACTTTGAAATGTCAGTTTTGAGGCACGTGACTTACTAACATATTTGTCCAGAAATATTTGGTAGTTGTTTCACAAAAGAGCTTTTTTCTGTCTTGGTCTTTTCCGGTAATAGTCAGGTTCATGAAGACATGGCCTTCATTGGAGCCACCAGCTGACTTACTCCTTAGCTAGCTGATGCTGCTGGAAAAAGCTGATCGACATCCAACAGATGTGAGCTTATGTCCTGAGGGTGTCACACAAATGCTCCAGGGCATGTGCTTTAGACTCACTGCACTTTCTCTGTTTTCTTCACATACAGATGTGAGGCATTTCCTGCTTTAAGGTCCTTTCATGCTTTTTCTGGATCTATGATCCCATATAATGAATAGTTCTCACATCTGCCCCCAAAGGGTGGGTATTTATGAGGGTAGAATATGGAACACAAGACCATGCCATCCTTTCAGCCACAGAAAAGGTCTTATTATAGAGTTAAGGATGCAGCTCATGTCTAGCATGCTCAGGGTCTGGATTCAAACTTTGGAAAAGAAGAAAGGTTCTATCAAAATTGTTTCATTCATTAAATCTTTCTGTTTTGTTTTGATTATGGTTCCCTGGAAAAAACGAGAATAAATATATAAGCAATCAATTCACTTCAGTTATGTCATGGTAACCTCTACGTGTCATATACAGCTTTACATGCAGGAGTTTTGGGGGTTTTCTTTGGTTTTTGGTTTTTTTTTCATTTTTTTATTTCTCAGTTCAGCATTTCCTCTTTTTAAAATGTATTTTATTATTAATTACAGTTTATTCACTTTGTATCCCAGATGTATCCCCCTCCCTCAGCCCCTCCCAATGCCACCCTCCTTTCCTCTTCTCCTCCCATGCCCCTCTCCAAGTCCACTGATAGGGGAGGTCCTTCTCGCCTTCCCTCTGACCCTAGCCTATCAAGTCTCATCAAGACTGACTGCATTGCCTTCCTCTGTGGCCTGGTAAGGCTGTTCCCCCATTAGGGGGAGGTAATCACAGAGACATGCTGGGGTTTTCTTATGAACAGTAAAGAGGCAGCTGCTGCTATTTTTCCAGTGAGTCTTGCTGCTGAGTTTTCCACTGGACAGTGTTACATAAAGAAATCTGTAAACTTGAAAGCATGCTACAAGATATAAATATCCTTATATACATTAACTGGATGCCATTTTGTTTTCAAAAATCTCTTACTTTATAGCAAAATATTATTTGAAAACCATTATTATCTGTACATATTTTAAAAAACCCACAACTAAAAATATCTATATAACCACTGCAAAAGGAAAAACACTTTGTGTCGACATTTGAATTTCTGTGAAATATATCTCACTAAACACTATTAACTGAAATATCATGCTTCCTCTCAAATAAGGAAGTTCTGAATATCTACACCACTACAAAGTAAAAGGCAGACACTGACACAACTATGACCATATTGATGTGACTCTCAGTCGGCTTCTATTAAACAGCCTGTGACATTCCCAAGGGTAAAACATAGAGCTGTCACATATCTGGTTCCTTCAGGAGAGCCTTAGAAGGACTATACTACAAATTTGCTTAGTGAATAAATTTTGACATGCACTGAACTATGGGAAATAATGCTGACCCCTCTCAGGTAAACAGAGTAGGTGACATTGGTTTACCCTTAAAATGATGGTGTCACTCTAATCCCAGGCTTGCCCTGTTATAATAGTCAGTCACAAACATTCTGCATTTCAATTTCTTCTAAGGTAAGAAATCCTAGAACATTCTCACTTGGGTGCCAGCTTCATCTTCTATGAAAAAGTAGGATAAGTGTAGGCTCTGGGAAATATTTCCTATTCCACCCCTTCACAGGATCTTGGGAGAGCTGCAATGCTTAGAGAAGGAAGACGTCTTTGAAAGGCTGAAGTGAGCACCATGAACATCTTGCCCTGTGAAGACAAAGACACGAAGAAACTTGGCTAACAGACAAGTCTCAAGTGCCAAAAGGTTGGAGAGAGCCTTTCACCCAAATCCTGACTTATCTCAAAACCTAGCAGGCGGATGAACCCTGATGCCTGTTACATCCAGAGATTTAAGAAGATAATTGGATCACATCTGTTAATGACTTTGAGTCCCATAGAAACGGATGCCAGAGAAATTCCTGACATTGTTAGAGGAATGTCACAAAGACCAGAAGGTAGAACAATTTCTCAACAGCTATAATTTCAGGGAAATTATCTTCACATGGGTTTCTGTTTCCATCACACACACACACACACACACACACACACACACACACACACACCAAAGTGACATTTACCAACCTGTTCCATAACAGCAGCCCTGCAAAAATGAAAAGAAAGCAAGGCTGGTGACAAGTGTGACATGCTGAAGTAACTTAGGGAAATGGCTGAGGTTTTTTTTAATACAATATAAACTTAAGAATAAAATAAAAGCAAATTATATCATCATTATTTTCACAAAGTTCAGATGAGGGTGTTGAGCCATGGGTGTCATGTGTCTAATCATATTTGATCCTGAAAGTGGTTTCCACTGTTATATGACAACTCAACATGTTCTGAATGTCCTTAAGAGGATGTCTAAGACACACACGGTATGTACTCACTTATAAGTGGGTACTAGACCTATAATATAGGATAAACATACTAAAATCTGTACACCTAAAGAAGCTAAACAAGAAGGAAGACCCTGGGTAAGATGATCAATCCTCCCTCAGAAAGATAAATGGGATGGACATTGGAAGAGGGAGAAAACAGGAAACAGGACAGGAGCCTACCACAGAAGCCCTGTGAAAGACTCTACCCAGCAGTGTATCAAAGCAGATGCTGAGACTCTTAACCAAACTTTGGACAGAGAAAGAAAGGGGAGATAGTAAGACCTGGAGAGGACAGGAGCTCCACAAGGAAAGCAACAGAACCAAAAATCTGGGCCCAGGGGTCTTTTCTGAGACTGATACTCCAACCAAGTACCATTCATGGATATAACCTAGAACCCCTGCACAGATATAGCCCATGGCATCTCAGTCTCCAAGTGGGTACCCTTGTAAGGGGAACATGGGCTATCTCTGAAATGAACTCAATGGCAAGCTCTTTGACCACCCACCCCCACCGACCTCCGACGGGGTAGCAGCCTTGCCAGGCCACAGAGGAGGAAAATGCAGGCAGTCCCGATGAGATCTGATAAAATAGAAAAGGAAGAGGACCTCCCCTAATCAGTGGACTTGGGGAGGGACATGGGAGGAGATGAGGGAGGGAGGGATTGGAAGGGAATGTGGGAGGGGGCTACATCTGGGGTACAAAGTGAATAAACTGTAACAAATATAAAAAAATTAAAATTTAATTTAAAAAAAGAGAATGTCTAACTTGCCTTCTTTCCAAAATTAAGATAATGCCCACACAGTGTTAGAAGTCCAGAATTAAACAAAAAGAAATTCAAGATTTCAGCATGACCA